GAAAAAGTTCTTAAAAAAGTTCTCCACTGTGTTCTCATAAAATTCCACTAATTCATTTTTAAAAGATTTAACGTCTGGTACAGATTTTTTCCTTTCGCTTCCACACTTCCAATTCCTTTCCAATAGCCTATCGAAAAACATCCAAACTATTTTCATTTCCACTTATGACTTCATCGACGAAAGGTTCCTTTTGTGGGCGGCAGACGAGACAAATGAACGCGGAAACATGGTTTCGTTTATTGAGCTCTGTCAAAACGTGCGAAAACCACTTGTCGAGTTTCAAAATACATTCCGGTTGCTTTAGGTGGCAAAATACAGTCAAGTTTTCGTCAACATTTAATCTCTTGCCAATATCTTCACTGGTTATACATGATTTATTATTAGCCACTAAGCGAATTGTCAATGCCAAAAGGTCGCCCAACGCGATCCTTATTTTGTAGTTTAAAGTCACCATTTGGAAATTAATTCAACCATTCTGTACCCGCCCTGAGATCAGCAGCAAGATCCAAACAGACGTTCCGAACATTTTTTGCTGCAGTTCAATCATTAGGTCCTTCTGTTGAACTCATGAAATATTACATTGGCGAAAATGAAACCTTCGTTTGGCACTTTAAGTGTCAATCCTGCACACAAATTACTTCAAATCAACACTTCTGAGGTTATGCTGGCTCGCGATACACTAAGATAACTGCCAGTTAATAATAGGGTTTTAAATGAATCATCAACACAGCTAAAAGTGCGTGATTCTGAAAATGGGGCACGAACAATTCATTTACTCAATATGAATAAAATTTCATGAGAATGCAGCTAAGAGGTGACATGTAGTGTAACCTGATTTGCTTTGCAGACCGAAATACAGAACCAGGTGTTTTGGCTTCAATCATTAAGTACAAAATGCTACCGATACGTTTTTAAAATTTCAGACCAAACTTACTCGCCTCAAAACGGGTCTACCACCATAAGATTCCAATTACCAGTGTCCATTTTAAAAGTCCATTTACCTTTATCTTAAACCTTTTGCTAAACAAGTCTGCAGTAGACTCATTTTTACAAAATTAAACAGCTAAACCTTTCTCTAACAGTGCGTAACGGACGATTCGTTGGTTTTAAAGGGCATTTTGTTTATTCATACATAATCACAGGTTCTGGGTGTCCTTTTCACGTTACGCAATGCTTTTGGTCGATAAAAGCTGATAGCATGCACAACTGGATCCTCATTGTCTCGAATGGTGAGATTTATAGACGCTTTTGATGTTCCACACTTGTGGAGGTGGCACATTGCTTTGCCCGACAACGGTTTGAGAGATAATGGCTTTTCCTTGCATTTGTCGCTGATTTCGGATAAATCCAAATGACCTCTCCATTCCTCATCCAAAGTAGTTTTGGTACAATAACTCAAATGGAGGAGCTATAAATGCAAACTCACGGAGTAGGCGATAGTTCCAGCAAAATGGACAATAAGGAACTCCGATGCGCTTGCAATTTTGGGGACTCCATAGTGCGGGTTGTTGCGGTGCGCTGCGTGGCTCTTCTGGATGAATGAGCGATCGTTGCCCTATAAACCAATGCGCATTAGTTCGAGGAATACAAGGCTAGTGATTGTCCACTATTCTTAATTTCGAAATTCAAACAAGCAAATTGAAGGTGACCTGATTAACATCAATCAATTGCTATGAAAAATGAATATCCTTCTAGTAATTTGATTGTTATACTTTGTGGCAAGCCATTAATTTTGGTGACGCTGTTTTCAACTAAGTAAAGTAAACAGGGCCTCAGTCTCAGGAACGACGGCGCTGTATTTTGAGCAATGAATGCGATGCATGCCACACACCGGCCAAATGCGCAAGCCTCATTTTTGTTTCATTAATTTTTCTTTTTTGGGCTAGCAACTATTCCGATCCCTTAATTCACATAATTATTTCTTATTTATATTTCTAATTCTCGAAGACAAATCCAATTGATTTCAGCCAACCCAGGTGAACTCGGTCTTCAAAAGGCAGCCGCAGAACATGCATATTTACTGGGTTCTAAAGATGGCACCGTTGATTCACATAATTCACGTATTTATTCATTCTAATAAACTTCGGTTTACGGAGATCTTTAATTAAAAGTTATGTACCTTTCAGTATTGTAAATCTGAATGAGTTTGATATCAACCCAAGCTAATCAAGTTAGCCAACTGTGAAAATTACCTAGAAGGCTACGCATATCTCCTCCGTATTTACGTCAGCATAAAAAAATTATTTTTTACCCCTATTCATAGCACTAAACTGACAAGGATCATAGAATAAGTGTTATAAAACTATGAAATGCGGACGAACGCAGCACATGTGTACCATAGTTTTCTTATGGAAATTCCGATTCAACGAAAGTTAACTTGGGATGTTTGAGTTGAAAAGTTGCTGTCCAACTACCATGAAAATCCAGTTCAAGCAATTATTAAAAAATTACCAATGGGTAACTATGTACGAGAGTCCATTTTAGCGCATTAGATATTGGCTAGTGCTACCCCAGTCACATGAATAGCGCACTTACTCCAAGGAAATTAATCCCAAGTTAGGGCTATGGAAATTGTTTAACAATTTTTTTTCAACAAGTTGCAATTACTAAAGGAAGTGAAGTGTGTAACTTACATGCCAAGTTTGGACAAATCAAAACCTCCCTTAAAACAACCCTTTTCAATGGATCCAAAGTGGAGTATAGCGATGGCAATAAATGACACGACGCTAGGCAGGAACGCCTGCTACATTTATTTGCGAAACCAACAGCTGTCACCTCAGGCTAGACTTTTTGTGCAACGTAAAAAGTTCCACCTTCGCACTCTGGAACAGCTTAAATTGAATCTTCTAAGACAATCGATAGGAGTGTGTGGGAACACGCGTGTGCGCATTTTAGCGGTTTGCACACCCCTGAGCAGTTGGCACACCTCTCTCCATTGCTGCTGAGTAGCATTTGTAATTCCCCCAAAGGCCCTGACACCGATTCGTCGTTTGTTAATCTGGTTAGCCAAAACAGCTAACTCTCTGGGTGATATTTTTGTAATGATGCCTACAAATCCATGCAAACTTGGGTCTAGCATTCCGAATGAATCAGACGGTATGCAAAAGAATTAGTCATGTGGAACATTAAGGCACGTAAAACAGGTTACCTGACCGAGATAAGCCTCGTCGTTGAGAATGTGAAATATCCCATCGGGCTTCCCAGTGAGCAGATTGATTATGACTCTGTTATCTGGGAATGTGATGTAGCTCCAACTAACCCCCTCACTGCTATACTCAGCTTGCTCCAGTTCGAAAACGTAGCGATTGAAGAAAAGTTGGAGGTTCTCGTTCGCGTAGTTAATACAGAGTTGCTCCAAAGAGTTGGTTGGCAGATTCTAGGAAGATGCCAAATTTTTTAACGCCATAACAGACTTGAGCTACCATTGTTACGATCTGTGCCTTTGTGCAATTTGTAAATATAGATAACGCTGGAAGAGACTGGTTCTTATAAATGGAAAATTACAAAGCGGCGGAAGAGATGCAAATAAATAAAGAGGCTCTTATTTTGTGTTACTAAACCTCAAACTTTAAGGCATCCGCTTTAGGACGCCAGTATCGAAGAAACACGGAGAGTCAGGTCACTAAATTTCCAGTTGGTTGATTGCTGGTTTTAAGTGAGTAGGGGTGAACATGCTACGGAACGATTGACCATTGGCATTTAAATAATACAAGCATCTACATGTAGACTCATTATGGCAAATAGGTTACTAGAACCGTTAATCTAAACACTTACTACCAAGAGGGTATACGAATCGATATTTTCATCAGTCTTGCCTAGGTACTCAACGCTCTAATTGAAGGTACTTTTTAGGGACTTGATCGGACCTTGGGCTGATCCTTAGAGAAAGACCCTATGAAGATCTGTTTATGCCGTTTACTGATGGACATGGTCATAACTACAATATGGATACAAAAAAATTGCAAACGGATTGAATAGGATATGTGTGAAGTTCGGCGCCTGTTGTCACCGTTGCTTAAGGCAAGCAACTCTGAACAGTACTGCAATCACTGAAGCATAATTTCGGAGAAAACAATTAAATTACTTTCAGTGATGATGCCGACGTGGTTAATGTTACAGTTCACAGTAAGGTTGCACTACAACGGAACTCGGTAAGTAAAAACTTTCCTAAAAAGCTCTGAATAGTTTTTGTGCGATTTCGAAAATAAGTTTATTTCTAACCATACATAAGTGAAAATTTATCTCTGAAAAAATTTAGTTAAATCTTCGACTTTCTTATTTACTGAAGCAGTGACATTCATGGAAGAAAATGACTCACTTCGAATCCATAGATGTCGAGAAGTGAAATGCTTTGTGAGGCATCTGCCGCGTCGATTTTGGGAGGCGCGAGTCGCTGGTTGAGTTCTTCGACCAAAAGCTCAAAGTACTTGGAGTACAAGTACTTGGCTATGGAATCTCTGTTAACTCTGGCTTGAATTCTATTTACTGGACTTCTTACTGCCTCGGTTCGCGTTTCCTAAGAACGAGTTGAAGATTCGTAAGCAGGCAATTATTATAATCAAAAAATCAGAGGTGTCAAAACAACATTTAATTGCAACTAAGACAGTCTGCAACGAATGTGTAGTTGAAAGTTGTTCATTTCGAAAGCTAGTTCTATTTGTTAATCATGTAAATTAGGGTATCTACGATTCCAAAATCTGAAAAGGTTTTAATAACTGCTGCAGGCCTCTTTCGTTACCAGAAAATTTAGGGCTGTAGACAATGTAAGTTAGCCAGAGAGTAACTAAAATTTGTGTAGCTTCACTGAGTGCGCAGAACGCTCAAAGGCCAAGTGATTTTTAAAATAAAGTAAATAGTTAAATATGTTCAAAGGTAATAGTCATTAAAAGTTTTATGCAGACACCTGCGATCTATTTAAATTAAAATAGCAAGGCATCGAAATCATTCACTTACCGTAACTTTGGTTGTTAAGACATTAGCAAGGATTTGACAATTGATAGACAGCTCGCTGGCAATAACATCCAGGACCTTGGGGTTCTTGATAAAACTGACCTCCTGAAAACATATTCACAGACGCAAAACTAATTAAAGCATGAACAAACAAAGCATTTGTTAAACTCCAATAGGCTATGTAGGAGGAAAGTGGACAGTGAAACACTTTCCAGCGACTTGTGTGATAATAACACCAATTACGTTTGAGTTAACGAGATCAATAAATGATTCGAAAATGTGCTCAGTTAGAATATCTAATACATCAAAATTTTGTAAACTTTATTAATGGCCTAGGCGCATAATCAATGCCCAATTCAGCCAAATAAGATCAAGAAATGAAAAAAAATTATGGTCGACCCTTATAAAAAGAGAATTTCTAAAAAGAAATATTTTGGCCATGGTTAAAATAAAATTTATTGAAATCTACCTTTCACAACTAAGTAAAATTTAGGGCTTACAATATTTTTTTATAATCATTATCAATTTTCTAATCTTAAAAAACCAAATACGGCTTCGTTTCCAAAGTCTTTCAGTTATGTCGCTCTCAAACAAAACCAGAAGGGCTACATTGTGAGACATAACTAATAAATAGTAGAACTTAAAAAGGCTTTCACAAAGCCATCTCAGGTCCGAATTCTCAAAAAGGTGCAAATTGAAATATTTAAAACCTAAAAACATACATCCTCCTCTCCGAATTCCACATTTCCCAAATGGAGTACACCAGACATAATGCGAAGACAAACATCCATGTCCTCCCCGGTAAAGCGCAGGTTTGACCAACAATTCAAGAGAACTTGCAGCGATTCTGGGTCAGACCGGGAAGCAACCTTACTCGCTTTGCCCTGAAGTCAAAAGGGCGTCCACTTAAGTCGGTACTTGCGAGGTAATTAAAATTTAAATAGTGCCTGACTTACATATTGCAGGTAGGCAAAGTCTGACACAGAGGTAAGCTGATGTGCATTCTTCGTTTCTTTGTCAAGACCACTTAAGAGCTGGTAAAATATATGGTAATTTCTCTCGCCAACAGACTGCTGGACAACACGTGACTTTTCTAGTAGATAGTTTGTCACCCGAGCCCCTGTAATCGATGGACTAACCGGAATTAAAAACAAAAGTCATGCGTTATGCAAAGACATGTACCAAAGCCTTTGTTTTAACGCTGATAACTCACCCAGAAAAAAATACCTCCACAAATTTGCCGAATCTAGACGAGTTGTCGTTTCTCAATGTAGTAGCGTTTCCAAAACTCTCAAGAAGCGGAGTACTCTCAAGCACACCTTGAGCGGCAGACCCCCAAGTAATCTGATCACCTTCACTTGAAGCCGCAAGATGACGTAAAATACGTTTAAAAGCTTCAGTTTTTCCTGCACCAGACTCACCACTACAAAAAGCAGAAGAGTACAGAAAATCGAAGTGGAAAATTGAACAAATGATTTCTAAATACATTACCTTATGATCGCAACCTGATCGACCCCATCGTGGACCAAATTTTGATACATTCCTTCAGCTATGCCATATACGTGAGGTGGCATTGACGCCATGGACTGATTTCTGTATGTTGCCATAACGTCGAGACCATCAATGAGAAGGTCAACATAAGGGTTAACCGTGACCAGTATATTGCCAATGTAGGTCTACGGGCGTGACGATAAACGAAACACTTACATAGATGTTTTTCTTGTCATAGCGAATTTTCAGGTTTTCTAAAATTGTCATTTGCGAAAGATTTCTGCAGCATTAAGACATAGAATATGTGTACCTTAGATTAACCATATTGTCAACTCCGTCAACATCGACAGGGCCAACAACACGGACACGACGCAAATTTTTTAAATTTAATATTTTAACCTTGATTATTAAACCAAAACAAATGCAATTTACTTCTCCATCAACAGTACTTCGAATCTGAGTTCCATCGCGCGTAACAGAACACACTTCACCCATTATATCCTTCATGTACCCTAGATCAAAAAGGACGCGAACGCCCTACAAAGGTTAAAATTGATAAAACTTGCCTCTCTTAGCCCAGGAATATTAAGTGACATCGTTTGAGAAACAAAGATCCCGGATTCACAGGCACGATTCCAAATCCTGGGAGCAAAACTGCCAGACTCGTTGACTAATTTAAACAAATTTGAGGTCATTATTTGTGTCTGACATCAAAAATGGTTATTTGTAACTTTCATCTCAACAATTTAGCATGTATAGCACATTTTTGCATTCTTTCTAGCTGGAAATTTGAAAAAAATCTAAATCTAGGTGTAACATTTGAAAACGTGTAAACCAATTTGACTTCCTCAATTTAATGGCCCATTGCTTATTCCTTTAGCAACATTACCAATACCCATCATTTCTACAATCATCAGTATACAAGTATTAGCATTTTTAAGTTGTAACAGACAAATTTAGGTGAATCAAAAGAACATTTGTATGAGTCATATCAAACATCATTCTAATTTCGGAACTTGGATAACACTTGATCCTAGAAACATTTGAAGAACATGGAAAATATAAATTATTTGCGACATTTAACACAAGTTGTGTAGTATCAATCATTGTAAACCATCAGACTTGGAATGAGTTGTAATTTGTAATTCCCAATCTTCGATTGGTAACTCTATTTCACATGTAACCGAAGCATTGAGGCATTTAATGCTTCACAAAACCTGATTTTCTCTTGATAATGATAATAGAGTAAATTCATTACAACTTTTTACAATCACCGACAATTCGATTCTCGTGAATAACACATTTTACTGTTTGTTTTTGTCAGTGAAAATGGTACATGTCATCGTGGTCAGAACTAATCTGGGAATGTTCACATGGGTAAAGGTCAAGTGACTTATAATGAACATTTTGGCTAAAGGAATATGCGTGTATTTTTAAGATTATGAGATTAATTTTCGGTCAGACTGATCAGCACTGACTCCTTAAATGTGCAAACAGCGGAGATAGTCAACTCTTATTAAATCGAACGATAGAATTCCTTCCATCAGGGAAATAGAGAGGTTAATCCCAAACGTAACTTGGAGGTTGATGTTTCATTAGCGCTTATTGGCTTTGCATTTTTCATGCCTGTTTATCAATTGAGCGTAGAAAAGTCAAAAATAGATTTATAAGGAAAACGTCATCACATAATCACAACTCCCTTACATTAATACTGTAATAGTCTCTCAAGGGCTGAAATGAATAACGTATATGCGCCACATCCACATCAGGTGAAGCATTTAAGTCAATCGAGCTACTAAATGAGAGCACTTGTTTTGCTTTAAGAACTTTGATGGCCGTTAGTGTATTTGAAATGTTGTTTTAGAATGGGATGCAGTTTGCGTTTGACAACAACATTAGTCGGCAATGGAGATTTTCTTCTATCTATCGAATGCTGAAATACCTTACATCCAAATCGCAAACTTTGTGGCCATCGCTGACGGTCCATTTGTATCATGTAGCCCAGGAGTCGCTTACAAGGTGCAAAATATTTAAAGATTATGAAATTGATCGTGGTTCCAGTAATTTATAACACCAAGGAACCATTACAGAACCCTTCTACCATCAAAAAACACTTAAAGTAACGAAATTGAGTTGCGAAAACCGCTCATTTGACTCCAAAACCGTCCTTATGTGTGCTTTGAATGATTATTCAAGAAGAAAACAGCTCTACAGGAAATGAGAGTCTGGAATAAAAAGTTGGAACTAAGATTTAAAATCAAAATCACAAAAGACTGGCTGTCGCATCGATTGTGTACCTTCCTTGCCATGTAATTTTCGAATTTTTTTTGAATTTCAAGTACGTGAAATTTGCAGTGCTTAATGCTTGCAAATTACATTTCGCTCAGGCAGGCTGTAGAATGACTATTTTAAACACTTACCAACGCTGATGCGTAGGTCAGACATCAGGTTCCATACAACTTTAGGGCTAGCAGCTGAACCGTACACTTTATAAAAGACGGTTTTACGTAGCCTAGCGGATGCAAAAATGTTGTTTTTTAATATGATCCAAGCAATGATGATTTTGCCAAGCAATTTCCACAACCAGCACTCTCCAGCTCCAGCAAGTCTACGGCATTTATAAATACTAACGGACCTAATTGTATCGACCCTATTTGTTGGGTTATAAATGTTAGAATTTGTAGATAGCTTTGTGGCCGATGTTTCATGAGACCTCTAATCGATTTATTACTGCTTTATTTGATATTATAAAACTTCATTTTGTGCTATTAAGGGAGAGGTCCGTATCTATGATCATTTGGCAAAGTTATATTTTTTCCATATATTTTATTCAGTTCCCTACTATTTTGCAGCTGTGAGGCTTTTTAACACATCATTGTATCGTAATTAACAGGTGATGCCTAATTTAGACTACAAATCTCTATTGGCGTTATCAATATTTTCAGAAAATTTTGCCACTGATTTGATCGGTATCACCATCCAACAGCGCATTTTTTTGTTTTCAATCATTTACTTCAAACTAATCGGGCCAATCAAGGGAAAAAGCTTATAAAATTACCAGGACAAGGTTTCCACAAATTCAGTCACCTCTTTTTGTCATTGAAAGTAGACATTTTCTGCTTAAAATTCCTCGTACACCGCAAACCCATCAACACTATTTTTTGGTATGCTGAGAGGCTATTATTTCTGATCCACTGTAATATCAGCACATTCAAGTAGCGGAATTTTGAAAAGGTTCACGCTTTTTGTTCGCATTAGGTATGTGCAAATTGTTTTGCACGTTAACTTGAGTTTGGAAAGCCTGCATAAAGCACGCGGATGCTTGACTAATCGTGTGTGGGTGTTCATCCCGAGTGATTTAAGTGCCTGCCAAAGCGTGAGCTGTTCTGAGGTAAATATGTTAAACGGGATTAGGTAAAAAAGCAAGCAGTGACTGTTGGGGAAGCGAAAAACGAAGACCTTTGGAATTGAAGCAGGAATTGTTTCATTGTGAGCAGCTCCAGCGGAAACTAGCCATCAAAGCCGCGGAGTTCCCAGTTCTTGTACATGCCACATGTTGCATCATGTCACTCAATGCACTTCCACATTCGTCATTGGCAATTACAGCATGCGCCCTCAAGTCCTTGAGAACTCTTTGTCACAACACCGAACATCCCTCTCTGTACCATACTTATTGTGAATATGAGAGCTTGTTCAAACGCAATCACGTGTTCGTAGTGAAAGTCTTAAACAGTGATTGTTAGTAATGTGCTTTGATTTTACAATCCCTGTGAATTCGCTAGAATCTGACATCCTGCACCATGGGTGGTACAAACTGATTATTTGACTAGTCTGTGGCTAGGGATTAGAAACGAGCCCGAGATGGTCATTAATCGAGATTCCCCAGAACCCATTCCCGAAATGTTCGTAACTAGACCTCTAAAATTCTCCTGTTTTGCACAGTGCTTTTGTTACCAAATATGGCAATTGACGTAACTATCCTAATGTTTTGTACAAATTGAGGGTCTCGTATTACCTCTTTGATCTTACCATTTTCCTGATGGGCTTCACCTCACTGTGCTTCTGTTTTGATGCCGGTCTTGTTGGCAATTATTGATTATGATAGCGCCATGTTTTACTAAAACCCACCAAATACTGCCTCTCTCTAAATATAACAGAGGGCTACTATCACAACGACGTACACAACGACGTTGCGGTCTGGCCTTACCTCGTTTTTCGGTGGTCAGAGGGGTTGGCGACATACCAAATCAACCCACGACTGCAGCGTCCCCTTAAACTCTTTGATAACTTTTTGACAAACTGTTGCATGGTAAGCCAGCACCTTTAAGATTTCTAGTAAATAAACTGTACTTATTTGCAAGATGTTCGATCAAAGGTCGCAAATTATGTATCTTCATTGCAGATTTTTAAAAGGAAGTTATTTACGTATTCATTGGGTGTTAAAGCCAATTAGAGATGCGATATAGCTCACCACCTCTACATCTCATGTAGTAAAATCTGACAAACGTAAATCAACTTTTGTGCTACAAAAATTCCATTGCAATTCAAATATCTGAAAAATTTTATTGTTCGGCTTGCACGAACTATTGTTTACGCATTACGTGTTTTCAGTTACTTTACCGATCGGAATGTTGAGTTTAAACGCCTAGGCAAACTTAGGCTACACACAAATCCAATAACTTCGGGCAGGCACTACAAGTAAGTAGCAAAAGTGCTAACCCAACATCAGATAAGAAAGTCCCAGATATGTGGAGTTTCATACCCGAAAATGTGCATTGTTCCCCATATAATATACTGGGATTGTTATAAACTTTTCTTGCCGAAGTGTCAGTAAAAGTACAGGTTGCTGATGCACTTTGTTTAAACTCCAAATCTGGTACGCAAATGAAAATCGGACATCTTGAAAGCAATTCATCGCATGCACACCTGGCGCCATCGCGTCACCGGTTGATGCGTGGTGGCACCTGGCTCCGGATTTTGGGGTAGAAGTGAATTTTTTCTAAAAAAAGACAACGTACATCAAGAGTTTTCTTGTTAAATCAAGACAGAGAACAATGCTTAATGTCATTTTCTTCTATGATATGTTTTACCACACAATTTATGTTCTGAGTGATGAAAGTCACAAGAAACAGGTAAGAGTTGCCGAGTTGCTTTCTTTAGTTAATGTGCAGTCAGCTTCTACTTCGACTTCTTTCTAGGTGTTTGCTTAAAATACATGTCAAAATCAACTCTAATACAAAGTATTTCGAACAATTGGGTTTCAAGAACTACTGAATGCAACAATGCATTGAGAGTTAGAGTATGCTCATTCACTCAATTTCGAGTTTCTTCAGAAATGATAAAAAAGTGCAGTGATATTAATGCTTTAAAGAGTTGGCATCGATAAGAAAACCAAACAGCAATCTGGGTTTAATGAATAGGCTGGAGTGATTCGTGTTGATTCACGTCAAACAACCCGGCGTCGCAGCCTCACACACACATCCCCCATCTCACGGCGCGCCCGTCAGGCGCTGGGACCGCCTGCCCTTAACCCCTCTGTATGTACCACCACCATCATCAGCCTTAGCCATGTGACCATTCAGACCCCTGTATTTTTACTAGTCCACTCAACTGCATCAGTCAACACAACCAAACTGCGTGCAGCGGCCTGGTAGATGGTTGTGCCTTATCCTCGCCGATCCTCTTCGTCTTCGCAGGTACTCAGGGTAGCGTAATCGGCCTAGATTGATGCAGTGGCCTCGGCGTGGTTCAAGACCACATGCCAGGGCCCTCAACAAGGTGTTTGCTTCATTACTTGTTTTGGTGTGGCTCTTAAAAGTAGGGCAGAGGCAACAAATTCGTCAACAGGTGTAAGTAAGCAGATTTTTACAATTTTCTGTAGGATGCGTGTTCAGCGAATACAGGGCGGGGGAAACCCTAAAATCGATTTTCGTCCATAAAAATTGTTTCACATTGTTAATAACGTTGGAAGGCTTTATGCTACACAAATTGCATTTAGTAATTTATGACCTAATTACTTCCTCTAATCTGGTTTGCCGACCATAATAGAAACTTCAGTGTTTTAAAACGCCAAAATTTGTCACTTTTAAAGTCATGTAACGTTTTCTTACGTTGATCGACTCCCTTTGAAGTGCCAGTTTGTGGGATTGTGATTGATGTCATGTAGGTGGATACTTTAAAATCAAGCACTCCCAAACCAACTCGGTCATTTTCGAGGTCCGAGAAGAATCTCATCTTTGTTGCGTCACCAAACGGCGTATAAACACTTGTAAAATTGTCATGAGAGCTTGAATTTGGTGAACATGTCGGTTGTGTTCCAGGCAGATTGCTTTTTCCATCCCCCGTTTCCACTCGGGCGTCTTGGGTTGCCTTAACTTCAAAGGCGACCTCACGATTGAGATCCCCAGGCTTTGTAGCATCTGATGGTGCATCGTGCATTTCATTTGTCGATAAGAGGGTAGCCGATAAACTGCCAGTCGGCTCTTGACTTGATGACTCAACGGGTTTGGTGAGACCGTGGTCTGCAGTGGGCGTCTTCGATCCGTCGTCCGGTTCCGGTGGTTGAACTAAAATCATGGGTACACTGGGGAGCCCGTTTGGAGAGCAACTGTGGTCATTTGTGGGCGTTGGAAAGTCCTCGCATGCGACACCCGTTTGATTGTTGCAATGCATTTCGGGTATAGAGAGAGCAAAAAATCTCTGAAGCCGGGAACGGGCAGGAATTTTAGTAACCTGGCAAGTCTGGCTGAAGCCGACAGAGGACTCTGAGGCTACTGAATCTGTCGATCTAAACAAATACGTGATTACAGATAAAGTACGCGACTTTTTGAATAGAACGCGGTGATTGCGGCAGTTAGTTTAGAAAAACCAAACGGAATGTTTGAAGATACATTTATTTGCAAAACGAGAAATCTTTTGCACACTTAAACTAGAACCGAGGAGTTTTTTTACAAATTAGATTACCCAACGTACATCTATCCTGTGTTTTTATATCCGTCAAAAATATTAATGAATAGGAAAAACTAATGATATTCATCATGTTTTCAATTAGCTAACGGTCAGCACTAATATAAAGTGTCCTGCACAAACATGCGTTGAACATGAAGCAGCAGACTAAAGGTATACAAAAACTAAACTAATTTTGACAGACCAAAGACAGCTCCGAGATCTCTTAGTTGTGAATTTTAATAAACACAAGGATACAAAACACAACTTTGAATTGTTCAAGTCTTAAAGACAGACATCAATAACTTCATCCCCCAGATATCGTTACTTTTAAGTAGGTTCTAGCTGTATATATGAACAGCTGATTGATAATTATATTCTGAATAGATGAGAAAAGATGAAATGCCATTCAGATAATTGAAAAGCTTAGAGTGAATTATTCCTCGATTTGAGTGTGACCACAGGAGGCTTTGGGGACAGTTCCACCCACCCACCCACCCGAAAGACCTAGAAAATAGATTTTTATTCGTGTCCGTATTGACAATAGCGTCGGTATAATGCACTAACCTGGAAAGGTTTGCACTGGAAACTTGGTTTGGTGTTTCTGAATCGGATGAACTGTTCACGATCAATGAACTACAAGGCCAATTGAAATAATAAGCTTCAACTGCACGAAAGCTATTGTATTATATGGAAAAAATTAAAAGGAATATCAACATCTCACTACCCTAATTATATTAAGTCCTGGCTTTCAGGATCAGACGAACCTGTAGAGTGTCACGGGTAAAATTAAAAGCCACACCACCACGGCACAGGAGAGCAGTGTTATCCACTTGGGATGACTCCTGATAAAGTTGTGGTCGGACACTTCGAGGTAAAATGCTTATCGAAGACCGTTTTTTACAGACTTCGTGGAGTCACTTAAATTGTAGGTTTTTTTAATAATGTTGCCGAAATTAAGGGAAATAAAGTTATGGAGGCATAGAGATAGGTTAAAAATAAAGTGTCACAACAAAAGCATCATCGGCACCTTAAACCTGACTTAGAGATCCACTCACTTGTAGAATCGAGACGCTTCTTTTAAACGCCTGAACAGTTGAACAGCTTCTGCTCTGGAGTGGCATTTAAACCCGATTTTCTTTTCAACCTGTAATTACGGACAAAGCACAGAATTCTTGAAATGCAAGTATCCACAGAAGATGTCTTGTTCTTAAGCAGCATGGTGGCGCGTTTACAAATAAGCGCATTGTTTACTTTTCAACAATGCTGTAGAACTTGATTTTAACGCATACACACACACACTTTCGAAAGGGAGTGCATATTCGTGAATAAGTTATTATTGGAAACTTAGCCATGCTTCATACCATAGAATCACGTTCTGACAGGAAACGGTTTTAGTCGGGAGCTCATATGTCTACGTGTAATGCAGAAAGCACCACGTAAGATGCTATTAAATAAAGGGCTATTAAAAAATACAAGCTAATTCGCTTGTGCTCGGGGATAGCACAGCCTCAAAAGTTCTGCCGCAAAATGTTTGCCAATTCAATTGAACCTAATGGGAAAACCCTACTTGAATAAAGTAAAATTTAAAACTGCCAAACTTCGGTAGGGATCAAATCAGTTAACAGGGGTGTTGAGGGGGGTTAAATGGACAAAATAATCATATAAACTCAAACATGAAGAGCAAATGTATATTTAATGTTTGCCACAGTCAGTGAAGTCTGCATGACGATACTACTGTAGCTGGCTTTATAATACACTTACGTCCCGCGTTTTGATGGTCACAACAACATTTTTTCGGTCACATTCATAATTTAGCATGGATTCCCTAAAATTAGACAAAGAATAAGAAAGGATGGGACTGATTGCGGGGCGTTAACTAAACTTCATTTATTTCATTTTAAATAAAAACAAAAAATCGCTGATAAAAACTATAGAAATTGCCACATTTGTCGATATTAAAGCACTTGGGAGTATTTATACGGTGCTTTGATTAAAATAAAAAATCGCAATAAACAATTACACCACTTAAATGTGAAATTACTCGGATTTTAGACTATCAAATCAAGTAAAGTCATAAATGAAGCTTACCAGCGGAAAAAATTAACCTGCTGACTGCTTTTAAAAACTGAGAGACCTTTAAAATTGAAACCAATCGCAATCCCGTTTCCACGCTGATCCTTAACATAGAAAATATTAATCGAAACATTTAGATGAAACGCCTTTTTGTAAGAAGCATACGAGCCTATTCAAAGCGTGCATTTGCATGTAGATTTGTAGGAACAACAGCCTTACAACTCATACTTCAGAATGAAATCCGAAAGTGGGGCTGCAAGCTTAATCGCTTCAGTTAATATTTCACGAAAAATTCTCGAGTACATGACCAGAGCATAATGTATCACGGAAATGTAAAAATATTAATTATTTCTGGGGCTAGACATCCCAAAAGCCCACAATAATTCAACTGTCAGTGATGGATTTTTACATAAAGCCAATCTCTGAAACCACATTCATGACCGACACATAACGCAACCGTGGTTTATTTATGCTTGCTCTGACAAGCTACTTCAGGTGAGACCAAATAATGCTTCGTGCATTTTAAAGCAATAACATTTTAGTATTCAACTCGGAACCCAAAAAAGTCTGGACTCATGACAGTTCATTTTTTTAACTAGTTTTATAATACTAAACAACCCAGATTAACAACATCAATTAAACAGTAAAAAGTGTAGGAGTTAAGCATAAAGCATTGAAGACTGAAGCATCGTTCATAAATTTTCTGATCTCGAAGAATTCAAGTTCCTTTAAGAGGACGGCATACCTTTGCGTCAAATGGTTCAATGCCGTAAGTGTCCATTCTTGTGGCCACTTTCAAAAAAGCGACCAGAGCATCATTCGCAGAAAGGTTGCTGCAATAAGTTTATAAATGTGAGTGAGTACAGGATTTTGGAGCATCAGATTATGCTCAAACATTTGCAGAAACGAGAAGACTTCTTAAAGATCATAACATTTGCAACTTGGCTTCTGAAGAATAAATCTATAAAGCTCACTCCAAGGTCTCAAAGCCCTACATGCACTGAAAAAAAGTTTAGGCAAAACACTGTTGGTGGTTTTGTTGAACCCGATACCAAACTAAGCATACACGGCAGTTAGCCTGATTTCAATTTTGACATGTTCTGAAGTCGTGTTTTCAAATTTCGTTCGATTCGGCTTCAATAGGGCTTGCGCAAAGCAACGATAATTTCTTACAGGGTGACCGATGATGCACATCTTGGTTCACAAACTTCAATGTAAAAATATGGATTTAGAGACAAAAATCTTTTTTTTAAGAAGCAAATGTGACAACCTGCAAAAAGTAAATATTTAGGAAGTTTAACTAAGTCGCTGGCCTTAGGTTCAATTTATTTTATAGAGATTGGTAGAATCAAAACAATGTGACGCGGAGTGAAATTAGAAAAAACCCCCCAGGTGGGTATTTTTGCCAGAGGTCAGAAACTGCTTACAACTAAAAGTAGAAATTATTGGAGTACTTCATAGTTATTCTTGAGCAAATTATTAAACGGTTCAAAGAAATTATTTGTCGTTTTTATTTGCCAAAAGAATTAACATACTAATTTTCCAAAAGATATTCCTTAATTTGGTTTTGCATTGAACTGTCCAAACTGTAAGCTGTTAATTTTGTCCTGAGGATTGAACACTGGGGTAGTCTTTCCCTTGGAATTTTCTTTAATTCTCCTTCATCTAAAATGCAAATCGGCAGCTTATATGCCGCCTTTCGTTCACAACGGGAAGGTGATTTAGGCAGCAACACCAAGGCTACTGTTAAATTTGTTGCCAACTTGTTGCTTTCTACCTGCAAACTATGGTACTTGATGTTCATGGCCAACAAACTTGTAGAATGTGTAGACAGAACAGACGAATTGCGAATGTCGATTTACATGGACTTAAGCATAACACATACAGATGTGGATATAACACCATGTCAACAATGCTGTTGAACATACGAGAACATGCATCCAGATCTAATTATCCTCGGATAAAACGTTTTATCTATTCCAGAGAAGTATAAGACCAGTGTTTGTCTTAATAAAGTTCTTTATTGGCTTTGCATCTCACCATTTCACAATTAACTATCGCATAGTTGAAACATCAAGAAATTACCTGGGGTCTACAAGTAACGATTAGCATTGACAAGACTACAATCATAGGAAACAAACTTAATTAATGTTAAAATAAACGTGCTGTAAAATAGTGCGCACCACCTAGTGTAAAACATGTGGTAATCATACATTCCAGATCAAGGGTGATCTAATCTAGTTACTGAGATCTGATTGAATCTAAGAGATCTGATACCCGCAAAATACATTCGCAAAATCAATCCGGTCATGAAGTTCAACTCCAGAGGCAACTCTTCTCAGTAAAAGTTTGAGTTTACGGAGAGAGGACTGGTAATTTTCATCAAATTGACAGAACTATCGGATTTTTTTTGCAAAATTAATTTTTAAGTTTTTGCCGAAACGAGTTTGAATGGATTCCGGTCAGAAGTAAAAATAACAAAGCGTAAGTGAATGCCTGATTTTAAAATTTACATTACGAAATGACGCCCGGTAGTTTTAAAACTTAATAAGTTACCAAATGTAAAAATTGAATTTTCAGTGAAGAAGAACATGGTGAAGTAATTGTAAGTTAAATATGGGTCAGGTTCTTTTATTACAAATGCATTTTCTTAAGGGCACAAAGAGCTTTTGCATAAAGAAGATGAGCCAGCCCCCTGGCTAAGATGTCAGCACTTCTTCAGGCTTAAGTGTTACCGCGATACACAATCAATCTACCAAAAACCAATTACATAAACGCCTGTTTATTCCGCAAAACCAATAAAAAAGCGCCAATCGTTACAATATAAAAAAATGATTCCTAGAATTCAGACAATTTTTGAGCAGGTGTCTTGAACGCTACACTGAACATGGTCCTTCCTTTTTGCCTCTGAACTTTATTTTGTAAACGAGCTGCCATTCAGCTGCCGAAAAAAGTTGCAATCACAAATTGTGAAATTTTATTGATTTTATCAGCATGCCATGCCAAATAAATGAAATAGAGATAGTTGACTCAACATGCCTGATAAATGATTCAGTTGTTTTTATAATTCCACACTTTAAAAGGTTTGACCAACTCTAGGTAAAATATGAGAGAAAACATAAATTGTTTAATAGGCTTTCAAACATTTTCAATGCAAAATAGATACCTCGGAAGTTCTGGCCAACAGAAATTAATTAAATGTTCAAGTTTTCTTGTTAATTGAAAAAAAAACCAAAACCTTCTAAAATTTTAAATTTTGTTTTTAAATCAGTGTTATAAAAACTAGGCATCTTTAATTGCACAATAATTTTTTGACAAAATAAAATGCAAATTATTTAGAACATGTGAAATGAGGTAAATTGAAATAATGAAGAATAGTTTTTGCTTCGATACCAACAGAGAAACTAAAAAAAATACTCCTCGAACTCACATTGCACGGAATAAGCAACAAGTAAGCAGCGGTCTCTTTCTTTACCAAGCAGACGTCCCACCGCCAAATCATGACGCAGTTGGAAGTAGAGTAGGCTTCTAAAGTGTTTTGAAAAATGTTTAGATTTTTTAAAGCACTGTTCATACAAAGTTACGCACTTACGCAAAACAGTCGGGTGTCATTTCGCAGATTGGATCAGCAGGATAAAATTTAATGCGCACAAGAATCGTTCTGAAGCCTTTAGCTTGAAAATATAAATCATTGAACGTTTGTGAGTTTCAAGTGAGGAACATATTTTGGGGGGTAGTTTACAAAAAGCAATATCAACGTTTTTTAGCTTCACACTGAACATGATAATGTAGCAACTCTGAACTTAGAAACAGCCGCATTCACAGGTACCACATTCTAAATGCATTTAGTACTGTAATCACAATATTGAGGTATGTGGGCGTTTTCTGACATTACTTCAAGGCAAAAATGTACACTTACTTTTGATTACTGCTAAGCTCTGTAGTTATAAATTGAAATTTATATATGGCAAATTATCATATGCATTCCCAAAAACCACACACAATGCATTTCGACTTTGCTATAAAAATATTTAGTTTTCTTAACTTCGGCCAGAAATAACTTGTCTATATTTGATAAGTACGAACTAGTGCGATGCATATAAAAATTTCATCTAAAGTAACAAAAGACTCTTTGCTACTTTTGCTTAAAATAAAATTACAGCCTGAAAGTTATTACAAGGTATCCTATCATACAGATATGAATGAACCTGCTTTCTCCTTTGCAAGTGATGCATTCAGATCCATCCACTCCTGAAATTCATTTAAAAAAACGTATCGACAATTAATTGATCGCATTTGTGAAAGTAAAAATGAAAGGAAAATGGTGACATTAGCAAATACAATGTTAGGCTTAATGGAGAAAATGTAGCAGCATTGAAATTTTTTATCATGAAAGTGGGTTAATATCTGGACCAGGATCAAGGAAAATATATAATTTTATGCTAAATTATTTTACTGTAGCTTACCGGAAATTCGCCCGGTGGCTCAACAATAAGTCCCAGGTATTTGGCTTTACTCGCATTTCCAAGTTCCGTTGCAATATGTTGAAGTAAGATTTTGCCGGTAGCTTTGAACTTAAAACAAAAACGTCTGACTTAAATTGAAGGAGGGAGAAATTAAAAGCATAATATCATCTTCCTTTTTTATTACTACATATTTTAAAATATAGGACAAACTTTTAAAATTGCTAAGTTTCGTGAACTCAATCTATTAATGCTCATGATTTTTACTGACTATGTACATGATCCAAACATTCTTTTCCTATTTCAAAATAACGATACCTTAATGAAAGTCATGAAAATAACACTACTCATCGAGATAGAATTCAATCCTAGGCTTCTTGGGTTAAATCACGCGTATGCATTTCTACACGCTAGTAAAGGGCTTCTGAAAAATCTCTATAAAGTTAAAAAATGATGACTGTAGGGAAACAATGATGAAAAATAGCAGATGACTTTTGGCAGATTAACAATGATATATATA